TAGTCTGATTTTATTGTTACTATTATTATCATTATTATTATTGTTGCTATTAGTAGTGATAATAGTAGTATTAGAGTGTTATGAATTTCCCATTAATCTAATAAATATATCACTGATTTGTTTATTTACTTACAGGTGCCTAAGCAACCATGTTCATCAACATTATTATTATTATTATTATTGTAGTTGTCAGTATTTTTATGTATTCAGTTCTCGAATTGAAATAATAACAACAAGGACTATTATTGTTATTGCTACTAAAAACAGACAGTATGGCATCTTTAAATTAATAAGAAAAATTCATTTTTCATTTCTCTCTCTCTCTTTACATATATATGGTTTAACTGTATAAAGTTGAATGCTTGTTTCTAACTGACTGAATTTCCCATTTTCATCATTATCCCCACCAACACTAACATTGGCATTCCATCTATGTGTCAAAATTAACACCATCCTAACTGTACATACCGCCAACTTTCATCCTTTTTTGAATATTATTGTATATTGTATATTATGACTGGAATTTCTTTTTACAAAAAAAGTGCATAACAACAAAAAACACGAAGATTGAAGAACAAGTGAAAAAAATAGTTGAAAAAATGACAAGGGTTTGAATAATGAAAAACAGTAGCGAAATGAACTTCAGTTGTTGTTTTTTTTTCTAGTAAAAACAATCAAGTTACACTATGACCACTCAAAATAAGATTTAATAAAAGTAAACTAAATCTACTGTGAAAATAATATAGAATAATACATTATTATTATTATTACTTAGTTATGAAGAAAAATCAATGTACTTTTAATTATTATTACCATCCACCCTATGTCACTTTTTAGTGTTTATTTTCTCCTTTTAAAAAAGTAACATCATATCCCTTTCTATTGAAAGATATGAGTTGAGCTAAACAAATTAAGCAAAATATGCACCAAAAAAAGAATCATTATTATTATTTTTTTTATTAAATATCAAGTATATTTTTAAAAACTTCAATAATTTTCTGGTTATTTTGATTAATCAAATCACTAAGACATTCATACATGTACTTACATTTAATATATACAAACAAACTTGGTTACATACAACAATAAACTTGTATTAATTTCTCTCTCCTCGCTCCTCCCTCTCTGTCTCGCTATATATATATATATGTACTGGCTACTTATGAATAGCACATATATTTCTTCTATCAAATAAGGCTCCATTAAATATCAAAAATGAATTTTTATTCATTCATTTTTATTTGCCACAATTGGTATGGTTTTTGTTGATGTTATTTTCTTAACATATAGGTGCTTAACATTAAAATACTAAGTAGGAAATAGTAAAATTGAATTATACTTCATTTATAGTTGTGTGTATGGATGTGGATATGGGTTGTTAGTTGTAATCATTACAATTTTTAACATACTACTCTTTTAATATCCCATTCAAATATATATATATATATATATATATATATATATATATATATATATATATGAAAGTTGGATACCAAGATATATTCATATTATAAAATATAAAAATGGTTGTGTAAACTTTAAGAAAACGTTTCATTCACGATCATAGTATGTACATTATTTCAATCGCAAGAACTTGTCGGGTTAATTCTATTTTAAAGGCGAAAATAATAAGAAATTAGGAATTTCATTTCTTCGATTCATTTTGAATTGAATTATCTTAGGATAATATCAGTTAGGTATAGCAGTTGTAAAAGGTCATAAGTTCAAACAATATTGATATCAATGCCTGCAATTCTTTCGGTCGGTAAGCAACCTTTGAAGTATTATTCAAGAATTCAGTACCGTCACATTCTTAACTTTAATCAGTGTGTAATAATGACAGATTCTCGTCTATTATCGTACGTCGTATTTAGTTAACTTCATCGATCATTAAATCTTAAATCTACCTTATAAGTGAGCGTATGTATTCTACTTATTATTAGATTGTAATCGCATAGCCAACAGAGAAATTCTAGCTCTAGTCCTTGTATTTAATCGTAAAGAAATTAACATTGAATCAAACTCATTTCATATTTTATACATAATCGTTCGAATAACGATTGTCAAGTATAATTGAATCGAAAAATGACAATGCTTTAGATTTGATAAAAAAGAGTTTATCATTAAATTATACAAATGCTTAAATGATATAGCATAATGTACTGTAAATTTTATATTTGTTTTGTTTTAATAATATATCTGATACCAGTGAATACAAACAGCCGATCGGAATTCTCCATCAAATGCATAAAATTTCCCTACACAATGAAGTTAACAACCATCTGTTCAATTTAATTTAAAATGGATTGAACTATTCCATTATAGTTGTTTTTACTGAAATCCAATCAGTCTTGATGGTTATGTAAAATCAGTAGCGAAGTGGATAACATGGTGTCGTTTGGAGTGTATGGTACTAGGTTAGAGTCCCAAAGTCAGCAACAACTCCGGGATGCAGATGCATCCAGTTGTCAAATCCCAAAAATAAAGAAATACGCGTCCTGGATTTCACTATCAATCACATTTCATCCATTCCAAGACATGTATACTCACTTTGATTAACGTTGAAAATATATTTCTTAAAATCGTAACAAGAGGTTATAGTTGATGGAAATCAAATAGTACGTAATGAGATAATAGTTTACCGAGATCATTAAACAAGAATCATAAACTAATAAAAATTTGGAAAAGAATGAACTATTTTTATTATAGCGCTCTGGTTTGAGTGTTACATAATCATTGATTTAGGTATGAACGCTCAAAGTTGGATATCACTTGGAATCGAAATAATATCAGTCTCCAAAATAGAGTGATATGATCGTTTAATGACACATGGATTTCAACGGCGTTTGAGTTGCGACAAATGTTTCAATAATAAATAAACTCACTGTCAACTTGATGATATTGAATATAATTTTCAAAAACGATAATATGAAACTTGAGTAACAGTTCAATCGTTCGGTTATCTCCATAAATTAACAAAGAATGGTATACCAGTCTACTATGTTAGAGAACAATTAATAGCCATAAAGTTTTGTTTAACTGATTCATTTAGGCGGTAATGTATCATTCTAGTTTGATTAGACGATTATGAAGCTTACGGGTGCTGTGAGACGATGTCGTTGTTCAGAACAGTAAAGAATACAACACAATCAAAAACTCCCATATGAGCTACAATTTTCTGTTCAGTAATTTTACCAGTTTCAACCCAGTTCAAAATTTCTCATGAATTTACACTCATGATTGTACATTTAGTGAAGTTCAAAACTTCCAGCTTCAAATGCCCAATGCTTTACAGTTTTAAAAATTCTTTCATATGATTTCAAATTAAACTAAAAAATATTTCACTAGTTCATCAGTTTGAATATTTAACATCGTTAAATAAACATTAGACCAGACAACAATTTAATCTATTAAAAAAATCTCCGCTTATTTCACCAATTGCACATCTGACATTTATAACCAGGACTACTAGTAGTAATAGTAATGATAACAACAATTTAAAAAACAACAACAACAAACTCTTTATTTCTTATTAAAGTATTAAATATAATTCAAACTGACATTTGTTCACAGTTGAATCATTGAAATCGTATAGCCTCTCAACAACAACAACAACAATTAAAACAAAACAGACCACAAAATATACTTTTTTTTAAATGAAAATGAACATATTCTGATTAAAGTAGTAAGAATGGTACAAAAAACACAGCAGGTGTAAAAAAAATATTTTCATTTGAACAGAAAGTAAACAAGGAAAAAAGCTGATAAAGTAATGGAAATGAATATTTTGAATTATTGTTGCTTTATTTTAATTGAATGAAATAGTAATTCTTTCTAAATATTTACAATTGTAGATTAGTGTATGAAAAGTTGTTTAAATTAGTCAAAGTTATATATATATAGATGTATGTATTCTTCAAGTACGTTTTAACAAATGAATGTTTATTCTGTGAATGAATAATACATTTTCTATGTTATTTCATGGGATGACCTTATTTAGATAATTATGGAAGACCAGTAAACACTGAATGGTTGTCTCGTCCTTATATGGGAGTTTTCGAATGTGCCCATTTACAACCCTTATCACTTTATTTTTCTTTAATTTTTAATAAGCATTACTTACTTTACTTTGCTACTTAATTACATTTGTTACCCCTCGTGGAGGAGTATAGGTCACCTATCGGCATTCTCTATCGAACTTTGTCTTGGGCAATCAGCATTACTAAAGTGTTATGAAATAGTTTATGGTATATGATATTCAAGTGTTGCTGGTTTACTAAGAATTTATGTAAACAACAATATTTTAGTATTAATCGATTCATAGTAATAAAGCTTAATCTATTTTGCTTTTATTAATCAAGAGTAATTTTATACACTGTATCTGTAAATTCTGATATATTTGAAATAACTTCATGATAAATAAAATGGCGGGGACCAATTTTTCTAACAGAATATTTCACATTTGTTGATTGAATGATTTCTACCCACTGGTGATCGTTTCAAAGTATTGAGTGTTAGTAGTTCTATAAATGTGTACCATAGTTATGCAATGATAAATGATTTAATAATTTACTATTTGTTCTAGTGGGATGTTTTAGACAAAATACTTTATTAAAAACTTAAACTTGGAGTTTATCTTTCAATTCTATAGCTTGCTCACCGAATTAATTCGCTTCACAACACAATGTTACTTAGTTTAACTTGCAGTTAAAATATAACTGAAAGTATACTATTGAATGAACTGACTGAAGTCTTGAAAAAACAAAAACATATTCTGACTGTTTAAAATTTGAAACCATTTGAGATGTGATTAGGGAAGTTGTGGTTGTATTTAGTGATTAATACAGTATCACTCAGTTAGTATACATTATATTGAAACTACATCAGAAAAGGACTTTAGATTAAAAAGTTTTGTCACCGATCTATGTTGAACTCTTGACGATTATAAGTTTATGGATCGTGTTTGTACTGCAAGTGGATATAGTAAACAGAAAGTTTGCCTAGCTACTACCACCACCATCATTACTACTACTACTACTACTACTACTACTACTACTACTACTACTACCATTATGGTGATAGTTACTATTATCACTATGAGTAAACTAAATTATGGTAAAGTTATAACTAATGTTGTTGATTTTATTTTTATATTTTTACAAATAAAAAACTTTATCCCCAAGTTTAATTTATTCTGACAGTGAATTCACTTGTACGTCTAGAAAATATGAAGTAAAATATATTAAAAAATTTGTAACAAGATAACCAACCTTTCCCAGTTAGAAGAAATACAACATGATTATTAATCTCTTTTCAAGATTTCAAAGTCTAGTGAATCACGAATATGTTCCATGTACGATTATTAATTATTATTATTATTATTTAGATTTATGCATTTTGACATTCTAAATTTTTCTTTTTCCATAAATTTACAGTCTACTGTATGTTCATGACCAGATTGCGTTATGTGTATACATATATATGTATATATATGTACATAAAATATTGTCTACTACCTATTCGAATCATTCAGTTAAGGTAGCACCTCCCCCCAACTCACAAATATACATTTTAGTCTATCCTAACAGTAGTAAAGGTTGGATTATATATATGTTATATGTATAAAGTATAATAATGGTTTGTTGGTAACCCACCTAGGAATATTTATGAAACATATGAGGCACTTTGAAATTGTGCACTTATCTTGTTCATTTTTCTTAAGTAGACAAGTTAGTTGAATTTTTTTGGGGAAATATATATTTATAAGCTTAAATGAAAAATGTATGTGTATCTATGATATATATATATATATATATTTAAATATTCACTCAACTACACACAAAATATTATTAATAAAGATAGAATTTATAAAGTGCAAATATGTATGACAACAAATTAAACCACAGAAAGTTTTACTTTATTTTATGTCTGTTTCTTTTTTTTACACAAATTATTATAATTTAGTATTTTGTCAGTGTGTGTTTAGATTTCGGATAAATTTTCTATGTACTTTTGTTTGTCTAAATGTATGTATGTGTATAAATGTGAACATAAATGTGTGTTTGTGCAAAAATGCACACATGTTATTTTAAAAGTTTTATAATAATGATAATAATAATAATAACCGATATCATTAACGTCCATCTTAGTCTAGTTAACACGAGGACACATATTTTTTAACATGGTTGGGAAGGCAACAATAATACTTTATGTTATATATATGTATTGAAAAGTTTCAGTAGAAACTGAGAAAATAGCAAATATCAGTTAAAAAACTAGATGAAGTGCAGGATGGGATGGATTGGGATGGAAACTGAAAATCTTCAGTCCCTTAATATAACTATACCTAATATGATATTTATTTACAGTATTATTAATTTTAACAATATTGACACTTCATTTGCATTCATATTTCTTAATCTCTTTACTTTTTGTTTGATTACACAATACATCACTACTATTGTAATATTTCAGTAGTATTAGCATTCTAAATGTTATCAGTCATGTTGCAGTAATATATTTAATATCTTTTTTATTTCTCGTTGTCAAATTGAATATGGCTTTTTAGTGTAAATTAAAATAAAGACCTTGACATTTAGAAATCTGAATTTATTGACATTTAAAACCAATATAAACTTAATACAATCGTCATCACTATGACTGTTCAACTACATGATTATATCCATGTATTCAAGCATATTACTTGAAATAGACGTGCGTAAATAAGTGAAAAGATGAATGTTTTACTTCATAGTTAGCTGACTGGTTAGATAACCTGATTTAAGTAAACAAAAACAGGTAGAGAAAAAGAGAGGTAGTATGTGCCAGAGAGGAAATGGTAATAAACAACTATATAAATCCAAATCATATTAAGTTACTGTAAATATCTTTCTCTGTTCAGTGAGAGGGCATTGATTCATTAACATGGATAATTAGGTTCTATTATTTATTGAATACGTGTGATTCTAAAAAAATTAACTTTACAAAATCTAGACTTTATCACTCTTATCCATTTTGAAATATTCCGTAGTTATGGCATATTATGTGTCCTGTCTCTATTTTCATTATTCTAAACAATACTGGCAGATCAAAGATATTGAAATGATTGAATTAATTTTCATTTCAGTTGTTCTGTCCTGATTATGTAGCCTTTATAACTGAAACTTTTCGTTCTTTTCATAAACAGCTTTCAACATTTCATGAATGTTTTGAATGCTTTCCTCAAATTTTGCGAAAAATTAGTACCTTAGCTTATATATTGACCATGTGCTTTTGACAATACTGACAGTTGATACATAATAATAGGTGAAATAATCTGTCTACTAAATGTAGATGCGATGTTAGTTAAAATAAATTCAAACTGAGAATGTTACCCCGATTTCCAACATACGACGACGATAGACTTTTTTAAGACATTGTAAATATTAGTCAACCACTAATTTCTACTTTTATTAATTTAACAACTAATTTCATTAACATGTAAATTATTTGACTAGTTTATTGGAATACATAACAAGAATTTATATAAGAATAATTTATTTACTATGAAACTAACAAAAATTCCAACGGTTTGTTCAACAGTATATACTGAAAATTATTGTGATCACTTACGGTAAAGTAACGTAATTCAGTGAACAATTATACATCTATATGATTGCCTTTGAGTTATATTTATTATCTGAGCGCTGAAAATAATATCCACTTGTCCAAACTAAAAGATATATAAGGTTCGCAACCTAGGATTTAGCGATTGAAGGTAGTACAGTATCTAGTCCACCAAACCCCTGTTTCATATGATGAAGTGCGTTTCATCTCAGTAATTAATCAGGAAGGTGTGATTAAAATGATCTTTAAATATAACATTATTTACAGACTAGTATTGTCCAAATGTAAGTCAGGATTCCGCCTACATGTTTTTCCTTTGGTGTTTATTGAAGAAAACTAACTAAATAATGAACCTCATACATAAAAAAAAATTAAAACGGAAAAGTAAGATATATTCTACAGCTATAGCACTAGTTACCTGGTTTCAGTTAATAAAAAAACGCGATCAAAATCACTGTTCATATCTATATAGGTATAATTTCCTGACCACGTGTATCGTCCAAAAAACTGATAGAGTAGAAATGATACATTTCATTTTAGCTTTTAGGGAAATTTACTTTCAAATTACATAGATTTTTTGTAAATGTTGACATAAAAATGTAAATTGATTTTAGAAAAAACCAGTTGTATATGTCAACATGGTAGGAGCGAATTATAATGGTCTACAAAAACATATTTAATGCCTTATAGCTTAACTGACCCATAGTTGATACCTATTAAAGTGAATCTTGGAAATGATTCCTATCCTAAGAACTTCATGAAATTATACATGTGCTTAGTGATAAATAGAAATCAGACATGTATAAAATGAAATAATATTGTATTTTTTTCATTACCCAGAGGTCATATATAGGAATTTTGTCAAAGTAATCTAAATTACGGGAATAATAAATTGATTTATATTCAATTAATAAAAACATACTGTAAGATGCTCACTTCAAAGAGATTACCTACAGTGTTTTATTTTTCAAAAACAATGATCTTACTGATTTATATATATACTACCCATATCCTTGTCAAGAGTAGTAAATAAAAAAAGAGGTGTAGACAAATGTCAAATGAAAATATAACAACGGTATGATGTCTCAATTAGTTAGACATATGTGATTGGGAAAAAACCAAAAAGGAGAAAACGAGTTAGTTACTCAGTTCAAAATACATATATACATAGCATACAATAACCAGTAAATTGTCAGTAAGCATAGCAACGTGATTTTACCATTTAATGATTATAATCATGAATTCTGAAAACAGATAAAACAACATGAAATTATTGTTAACTGGTAAGCAAACAATCTTACCGAATCAATAATCAATATTGTGACAATGGCGTGAAATAAGTGAATATTTCAGTTTCTCTCCACATGATCTACGTGTTATTAATTAACGTTTTGTAGTATAAGAAATGATCAATTTAGTAATTGTCGTAGAAAAATGTGATTTCACTGTGTTTATATTACAATTTCAAGTATTCATAGTTTAAGCTGTTCATGCATGTTAAAAGACTTATGTACATTTTGATGAGTTGGTTTCTTATGGATCAACGAGCCTCACTAAACTTTTTCTTTTCAACTTTCCCTTCTATTCACACTAGTTTCATATTATCTCAATAGTATAAATCATTAAGAATCATACACATTACATGATGAATACATATAATTTAAATAACCTTAAATGTTCATTCAAAAAGTTTTCTAATTACTTGGTAACTGTTCTTATAAAGGTTAATTTAACAGAAAACCGTCATTTGACCAGAAATCAATTGTTTGTTTTATTCGTAAATGTGTTTGCTTTGTTTACTGACTATGGATAACTTTATGATATTAGTGAAAAATAAACACAAAGTCATTACTTTCATAATTCCCAGTTACTCATAAAAAATGACGTCATTTATGAAATAATATATCTATATTATCTTCATTCACAAATAATTGGTTTACATTCCCGTAAAAAAGATCAATATCATATTATCATCGAATACAAGAAAGAAAGAAAAAGTGGAATTCACTTTCATTGTATCTACATTACTATTTAGTTTTATTATTCTATTGAAGATGATTTTACAATTTTCACAATAATATTCATTAGTATATAATACTACAATATCAAGTGAGATAAAAAAAAGAATCCATTCTGATCATTTGATATTAATTCTTATAGAAGAGAACTAGATTACTTCCATACTTATTACTGTTATGAAAAGAAAAAAAACAAATTTACAAAATCTCAAATGTTATATATTTTATGTTACACTTCATGTCTAGTGGTTAAGTGCTCGCGCGCGAAGCCAGTAGGTCCTGGGTTCGAGCCCCACGTGGTGCGGGATCGTGGATGAGCACTACTGAGGAGTCCCATACCAGGACGAAACGGCCGTTCAGTGCTTCCAGGTTTTCAATGGTGGTCTAGCTTCAACTGACTGATGATTTCAACTTGTGAAATTTCTTAAACTCTCCACAAAAACCCATTCTTCATGTTAGCTTGAAAATTGAACTGATCAACCATTAGTATTCTTTATATTGTCTCTTTTAATTTACCAATATTCAGTAGTTCATAATCATCTAAATTATGATGACCAATTCACTAAAGAGATTTTTTTTAATTATTTGATATTCATATTTTAAAATTATTGAAAATCAAAAAGTCTTAAATGAATATTACAACCAAGTTTGAGACACTTCATGAGTATACATATATCCCTTCTCTTCACATAAAAAACAAACAAACTTTATACAAAATCCAATAAAGAAGTTTAATTATCTAAATGATATTAGATCAGAATGAAAATGATTTCAAAAATAAATAAATTTTACGATCATCTCTTAAACTAAATTATTTTAATATCAGATGGGTTTTTATGGTGATTGTAGTAATTTCAATGATTAAGATCATGAATTAGTTGAAGCTAGACCATTATGGAAAACCTGGAAGCACTGGACGACCGTTTCGTCCTATTGTGTGAAGAGTCCTACAATAGCTTCGACTGACTCATGATCTTAACCATTTAAATTATTTTAATCAATTAAATTAAATTCTGTTAAATTTTAAATGTTAATTAATTTATTGACTAGTTAAATCAACATTATTATAAATTAATCGATTTTCAAATGTATAACTATACATTTGTTTTAATGATTTAATCTATCTAAACTTTATTTTACAAATTGTTACAATTTTTTTTCAAATTGAATACATTTTTTAAAAAATGTTAAAATCTAATTTAAAATTAACTCAGATTCCATAGCCTTTGTGAATTGATTAGATAATAATCAGCAGTATATATATATATATATATATATATATATATATATATATATATATATATATATATATATAATATATATATATATATATATATATATATATATATATATATATATATCCTATTCATGAATCAATGAAATATAAACTTTAAATGATAATCGATACACTACTAACATTGATCGACTGTTTATTAATAACCATTCATCAGATAAATATGAATTTCAGTTTAACGATTATATATATATCAGAAGGGGTTTTGTGGAGATTTTAGAAACTTCACTGATTGAAATCGTGGATTGGTTGAAGTTAGACACTAACACGGTTGGATGCCAGCCAGCTCAGTGGTCTAGTGGTTAAACACCTGGCGCGATAGTGGTAGGTCCTGGGCTTGAATCGCGAATGTGCATTGCTGATGAGTCCCATACTAGGACGAAACGGTCGTCCAGTGCTTACAGGTTTTCCATGGTGGTCTAGCTTCAATTGACTCATGATTTCAATCAATGAAATATATATGAACATCGGTTAGTTAGGTTTGAAAATACAACACTGATTCAATGAACAGTACAAATTTAAATTTAGTGATCAGTGAAAGAAAACAGATTTTTATGGGTAATTGTTTTTTTTTATTCCTTTTATAATGTACATCAATTCTTAATAAATAAAAAAACACAACTCAATTAAACGGTAGATAATTTTTGTCATTCTTAACAATTCCTAGCTTTAATTCTATCTTGACAATAGTTTATTATTGATTTATGATCCACTAATGATGAACACTTCTTAGGGTTTTGAAAAAAATATTACAGTAGATACTTGTTTAACGACTGATCAGTCTATTTAAAAGCATATTGTTAAGATGAAATTTCATATACTACTGTTAAGAGACATATGGGCAACACTTGAATTACGCTTAACTAGGTTTTGCGAAATAAATATTGTAAGGATGAAAAAAATGGTTTGACAAAATGTTGGAATGATTGGATTGCCATAAATATTGTAGTATCTAGAAAACCGATCCTCCAGATCTCAAACTGCCTAAATATGTGAATAAATCTCCCAAATTCTAATCTTCTGAATTCATCAGATCTTTTTTCCTTCTTCCAAATTTATTTCACTGGATTATACTCCATGAATAACATCTTCAAACCATAATTTTTTTGATTGCTGCTTATACTTTTACTACCTCTACCATTACGGGGTTTGAGTCGACAACTGCATCTCTGTGATAATGTGTTATGGCAACTCGAACTGATGTACGTACATACGAAGTTCTACGTTATTACTGACTGACTCATGGATATTACAGAAACTTTACATTCAGTTATACGAGGAATCTTACGATCACAACTAGTTTACCAAAGTTGAAAAATGAAGGTCACAAAGTAGCCAATAATGTTTCCCTTCTGCTCATCATAAAATATATAAATTCCATGTTGAAAAACTCAAGATCCACACTTCGAAAGTTTAAGACCAATAGGATTAAATTATTATACTTTCTTACTAATCACTCTGGTATAATCAGAGTCGTCACTGATTACATTATCAATCAGTTGATAGATTTCAAATTGAATATATTATTTTTATAGAGAAAAAAAGATGTCTTCTGTTAGCTTTGTTCGTTTTTCTAGAAACAAACCTTTCAAATATGGTCAACAATATATCAAAATTTATTCAGAAATAAACAATAAACTATTCTAATTCGTAATAGTTTTGAGAAATGTCCATAAATATTTAGATTACTTTTAAGTTATTCAGAGTGCATGAGAAGTTCTTATAGAATTTGAACGGTGAAACTTTTACTTAGGAGGTGATATACATGCATAGATCTCTATTTAACGGGTAGTATTGTAAATCAGTATAATAGATATGACTTAATGCGGTAACTTGCACGAAGCATTGTGCAATACTCTGGAAATTCGTTATAGATTGTTGGAGTAATTATATATGTAACATAATTGGGGTGAATTGTGGAATATCCAGTGATTAACAAAGGCATTTTATCCAATTATGACAATAGGATTTTTCATCCTTAGTGAGTATTGGTATTCCATCAATGAAGTCTATCATATGAAGCATGTGTCTTCTCATTTACAACCTCTTCAAAAAGTATTCCATTAATCGAACACAAATTTATTCACTAAGTCTTCAAACAACACTTTAGGTGAGAGAACTAGTGATATTACCCAACTATCTGATTCAGAGTAGGAGTAGAGGGGCTTGAACCTGTAACCTCTCACATGCAAGCCTAGAACTAAACAATTAAGTTACTACTTCACATAAGTTCAGTTGATTCAGTTATAAATCATCCATTGTCGTGAAACTATTTATCTTATCCAGTGCTTTATTATGTACTTATAACCGCTAACCAAGCACTCTCACTCAGCGTTTTATTGTTTGACTGTTCAGATAAATGAAATAACATGGTTAGGTTTGTTGATGTTTATTATCGGTTATTACCAACAATTTTCGTGGTTTAATAACGTTTTTTCCACTTACTTGAAAATGAATATTCTATTTAGTTCAAGCAATTTCGCATCCTTCAGAAATCTATTTCATAATGTGTAACAGAGTAATTGACAGGCAGTTTTATTCAAAGTTCCGTACAAGTTGAGGCTGTCAAGTCATTCAGATTCAGGATCACATTGCAGTGTAGTGGGAAAAATTCGATCAATTTCCTTTCATAAGAAAATCGATTACCTTACTAATGGAATAGTTAATAAAAGACTTAATCAGTTATTCTTACACAAAATTAAGCAAATGATTTTGGTTTAGTGAATTTGATCCTAACAACCGAACTAAACATAATTTTTTAAAGGATACTATTACATAACTGGAAATTTTTACATCGAAAAAAAGACTTTTATCACAAGCTAATGAATAGAATTCACTGTTGCCGTTGTTATTTGTTCTCTTAATCGACAAGTATCTACTTTAAGTTTAAGAGATATTTTAACGATTAAATGTGGTTAAAATACAACGTAAATTACATAAGATTGTCAAATATAAGCTACACTATTCAAAAAGAACATATCAACATAGTGAAATAACAATAGAAATATAATAGGAAATTTGAAAAGAAAAACTGATTATTGCAAAAGGATTTATTATAAATGATCAAAATGATTATCTATGTCACTTAATCATTTAAAATGTTTTATGGACAAATAATCTGAATAGAGTACGAAACTATAAAACTGAGGGTCTATTCGGTAGAACTATACTATTTGACAAATCGACTTAAGAAATTATATTGTTTAATTATACTGTTCAAGTAAAATTTGTGTAATTGAGGACTACATGATCTAGGCATTAAATTTATGGATTTTTCCCGTATTTCTAGTAAACTCGTTTTTCATTTACTTCAATATTAACAACAGATTATAGAAAGAACTATTTCATAACCCATATATTAGATAGTTTACATCGAAATTTATGTAAACTTTAGAGAAGAAGAAGAAAGTATTTGTAAAATCTCAGCAAAAGCATTTGAAATAAATCCAACGTTTCGTTTGGTAATCTGGTTCAAGTTCTTTAAACTTTGTTAAGAAATCTTAAAATAAAGATCTTGATGTACTGAAAGTATTACACAAGTCGTTGAAGTTTAATACTGAACTTACTTTAGTAATTTTTCTCAGTTTATACAATGCAAATAATCAGTTTATGTGCGATCTAAAACAAATATATATTCACTTGGTATTGTTTGGCTTGTATCTTCCCATGGAGGTTTAAGACTGCAATTGGTCAGTTTGTTATCGGCATATGTGCATACTGTGCGCATGCCTCGATATTACCTTAATTCACAAGCTATTTGTAAGCAATGATGGATAGTGGCTAGCAGTGGAATCCAGGATGTGCGTTTCGCCCTAATTGGGACTCGTCAGCTGGGTGTACCTGCATCTCAGAGACTTAATGTTCACTCAAATAATCATTTTTATATCGGAACTTTAATATTCCTAGATAAAAAATTTATCTGATCTGTCTGATAAGATGAAGATCTATCTTTATGATATGTGTTCCTTATTAATGTTTTTTAAAAATTCTAATTAAATAATGAATGAGATGAAGATATCTGTCAAACATAGGTGAATAAATTGTTTTTAGACATTCATATAAAACTTTTCGCAGATTAGTATACATATATATTTCACCAAATAAACGGAATCAATAAAATCGATCAATATATAACTTACCTAGTGTAACTTGTAAGGGATAATTTTAATGTTTGGTTTAATAAACATTTAAAGCCCAAGATCATCATTACCAATTGCAGCCTTCAAAAAGTAGTGTATTGTAATGAAGTGTATTATTATTATTAATTATTATAATATGGAGTTCAGCAACTATAGTCCACTATATACTTTGTTTAATCATGATAATATAAACAGTACATGTAATAATATTGTAAAACTAGGTATCACAGAATTTAGAAGTTAAAATCACTCTCGCCAAAAACAATCAACGTTAACACGGGAATGAAATATAAAAATTAACCGTTAAATGAAGTGAAAAAATAAATTTGTTTTAAATTTAACGAAAATTTCAAACCTATGAAATTCTTCATTTACAGTTATCCTCCCTGTCTCATATTCTCTCACATGCATTTGTGTATATGACTGTTCATTCTATACTTCACACTGTTTTTGTTCCTCAATCAATATACATATATGAACATACAGACAAAAATAGTTGAACACACTAAAATATTTTCGTTTTAATTTTGAAAATTGAAGGAAAGACATAAAATTATAGAAGTTTTTGAGAATTGTTGAATAAACTTTTGTATGTATGTATCGATACAAATAATATGGATAGAACAATGTTTCACTGTAAATGTGTATCTAACTAACCAACCAACTAACAAATATTTCATCTCAGTAAAATATTACAACACAGATTCGAGTCCACCACCCTAAAAAAAATCTTAAATTCATATTTTAACTAGTTACAAACGTACACAGACATACACACACAAATTGAAATATGTAAATATCTGTAAAAAGAAAGACACTCTAACAGCTTACAGGCATATCACACACCTACATTGTCATTGTAATGTAGCCACGAGAACTATAGTTCATTCTCTTACCCTCTTTTAAAGATCTTTAACTGAAATACGAACTTGAATGTATATATATTTGCGTTGAAAAAAAACAAAACAGAATAGGCAAAAAGTTGTAACTTTAGTGATAGTTACAACTATTTTCCATTTAGATAAACTTCTCCCACCCTTTGAATACAAATTTCTCAACCTGTTTTGGAAAGAATTTATGATGATGACTGACCTTTTATTCACTCATTCATTCATTCAATTTAAATCACTCTTTCTCTGTTACCCTATAAAATATGCATCACTTAGATTGGCTATGAAAAACAACATGTGACCGCAAATTTTGACTAATGTGTGATTGGTTTATTTAAATAAGTTAGTGAATTAATGAACAAAAATCAACTCATGAAAATTATCTGTAAATTTTCTCAATGTACATATTATGCTTTAAAAACTGATTCCTATCACGAAGGGGTTCATCGTATAATTCAACTTTTATAGTAAGAAATGATTATTGTTATTCATGTAAATTGGATTCAATTTATTCAGCTACAGACTGTATTAATTATATTATTAGTCATAATGATTATTATGAGTTGTCATTCGACTTTTTGTTCACCTGTTGATAGGCATATAAATATACATTATATATGAACAGATTTATACACAATACATTGTATAGTGTTGTATATACGTATATCCTTCATTGTTAGGAATATGACAGGTTAACTGAAAAATCTCCCCTCTCCCCCCCCCAAAAAAAAAACGAGAAGTTAATAACCAAATGAATTTATGATTTCATTAAAAAAAATTTTTAAAACATTCTATTCCATTAACAGAGATTTGCTTTCCTTTCTATATAAATGATTATAGATTTTGTTGAATAAATAAAAAAAACTCATATTTTATTCGAATTGACATATTTCAGTTTATTTATGAGCAAAATTTATATGATACTAGAGGTTAATTTCATTATCGGTTATTATTTTTTCTTTCGAAAAAAAAATTACTATTATTATTTACAAATTACTCATTTATTTTATTTAAGTAATTAATGTGAGTCAGGGGTCGTTCATCATTAATAATCAATATCATAACAAGAGAAGTCATGTTATGAAGTAGTTTAGGATTTCTTCTATGTTTTTCTTTTATTGTGAATATATAGAATTGGAGAAAATGTTTATTGATTGAAAGTAGTGAATAAGAAATTTTAAACTTGAATTTTTGTTAGTTGGTGTTAATAAACAAGAATGATTGACAATATTGATGGAGCTGTTGCTCCATGTGGAATTTTGAAACTGTATTAATCTATATGACAAAGGTTTCACCGCATAGCTGTAATTCTTATGGCTGACTTACATGATTTAGAATTCACCAATACCATACTAGTTATTAGTCAATGTTAGCTATCTAGTTTAATATATTATTATTGACAATGGATAAGTTTACTCGAATATAATTCGAAAATTGAATGTTCTATTTCCGGCTATAGAGTCTTTTACGTAGTCACTTATCTTAGGGATCGTGATACTTCATCATGTCAGTAAATTAACTGGAAGAACTGGTTCTGGGTTTTGTAAATGTTGATTCTTATGAACTAGTTATGCTTGATGTTCCAGAACTTAACATTTGAGTCATCAACTCTGCTAGTCAATATTACCACTTGAATTTTATAGCCAATTTTTCAATTCACACAAAACTGACTAATATGCAGCTTTTATCGATTTGAAAATCTCACTTAGTATTCACCCATGATTCCACGTAGAATTGAACCTAGAACCCACTGGTCTCTCAGAGAGCCCCATAAATTTGGACTATATTCTTTGAAATTTAATAGTTATTTATCTTAAATTTCGTATATGCGAACATATACATAGGAAATTATGAAGTACTACGGGAAATGGAAAATATATGTGTTGTGTTCTAGCTAGAAGCTAGAAAGTTTCAAGAAATCCATTTCAAAGTTAAGTAACAGAACCCATAGGATTGTTACTAATGTAGGTAATGTGGAGATTTTCTGTCACTAACTATCGACCAAATAATGACGGTTATGAAATCATATATGTTCATAGTTTCAAATCAAACCACTTTTTATAATTATAAGTTAAAAATAGTAAGTAGTTAATGTATTTTAAAAATTATTACCAACCTGAATGAATATTTATCATATAATCACGGAAAACCAGTAAACTATAGATATCTGCAACATTTAATTCGTAACAGGATGTAAGCATAGTGAACTCTATGTTCTACTAGTAACATTGTTCTAACAAAATGTAACGACGAATATTTATCAATAATATATATATTCAATAAAGTTGTAATTTTAAGTTCCAATAATGCTTTAACGACTTGGATATGTGGAGAGACTTAAGCATTTAAACAACAAGTTTGTAGAGAGAGTCTTTCTATATAAATTTGTACATAGTTACTGAACTACTCATTTATAGTTTAATCAAATATTCTTTATGACAATTTGTTACATAGAAGATAAAAGACTAACAGAACAATATCAAAGAAATTTGTATTCTTCACTATAAACAAATTTGAGCAAACTTTTCTCTATTCATATTTCTTTTCATCATTTCATCAGTCTTTATAGTATGATTGGATACAAATATAATTTTCATCACCGATAATATATCTTACAAAGTATCACTGATATTGAAGGAACACTGAATATATGTCTTATTATCCTAGTTTGATATAAACTAACAAATTAACCAAAACCATCTCCTTTCAAACTCACAGTCGTTATTGAATTAAAATCTTCAACTCAAATAACATCAAAGGTATTCATGTAAGCTGCAAATCTTCTTTATCATTTAATAAACAATATGTTTCATTATTATCCTTAAGACTGATACATATCAACATGAATATATGAATATTTATCATTATTCCATTTAGAATAATTCAAATAATGTTGAATTACTTCATAGGAATTCTCTTAATTATTCATTCATTTCAATTGAAGAACACAAATTATATCATTATTTAAAGGAAATTCTATTCATTCAATCAATAAACTAATTCGTCAATCAATTCTGATTGAATATAATTTTAAATTATAAATAAAAATCAATATTTAACTTGATTAACTTTAATAGTTTGTTTTTAATATTAATTAACGTTTTTTTTTTTAAAAAAAAAAATAATAATCCGTTTTTTTTAAAACTAGACAAATTCCACAACGGTTTTAAAAAAAAAATCCATAAAACTATGATTGTCATGATATTTTTATACATTTTTGTTTTGTTATTGTATAAATAAAAATTACATATCAAGTTCTAAATTGTTTTCTATCATTAAGAACTTTATATTTTACATTGATATTCATATGGATTTGATTTATGTGCTCAATTTTAAATTTAATTATCTTGTCAACAAGTTTTAATTCAAAAGTTAACGAAAAAAAATAGAACCAAAACAAAACAAACAAACGAACATGTTTAAACGTGCCTTATCTTAGTACACTTTTCATATGTATATTCAATATATATATATGAGAAGAGATAAACCGAGATGAAAACATCATTTTTTTATAGTTTTGATAGGATACATTTGTAGTAGTTGTTGATATTGGTGTAATGGTTATAAACTTTAGATAAGAATTTTAACAACAGTAACAAAACAAAAATGTAATAAGGGTGGATGAATGTATGATTTGTTGTTGTTGTTGTATTGATGGAGTTCATTTATTGATTAATAATTCATTAAATAAATAGGATAAATAGAAATAAGATGAAACAAGAAAAAAAATATTAAAAAAAATTAAAATAAAATTTCATAAAAACAAAAACATACACTTAAAACTATTACTACTACTAACCGACTTTGAGTCTTAAGATTCTTTATCTGTAATTTTTTTTTTCTTAATAAATAAATGGTTTTCATATATCATGTGTAAACAGTAAAAAATACCAATAAACTTTATTGTTTATTCATTTTTATATGTTGTATGTTGTGCATAACTTAATTGTGTATGATGTATGTTATGATAGTTGGATTTAATTAAGATGACAAAGATGAATAAATCTGCGGTAAATGTACGCTTTCTCTCTCTCTCTTTCTCTTTCTCTCTCTCGAAAACTACCACATTTGAAAGAATCGCAATATATATATCCTATAAGTTTTTTTTCTTCAGACAACTGTGTACAATAATATTCATAAATAATATTATGTTCAATTATGTGAAATGTTAATTTGAA